AAAATAATCGTCGATACGGGTTTTAAAACACTTCACAGAATCGGCCTCTATTAATCCTTCAGGTAGTGTATTCCATAAGTTTACGATTCTTCGTTCGATACAGAGCTGATGTGATACTTTGTTCATGCTGGGGACCCTGAGTTTGTAACGATGTCCTCGGGTGTTACAGGGTTCTCGCAGGTGAAATATTGGCCGTAGTATGGGGAAGTGATTCAAGTGTAGTACTCGATGGGTCATAATAAGATCAATTCTTACTCGGCGATAGGATAGTGTGTAGAGTCCGAGCTTTTCACAACGTTTTTCATATGGAAGTTTTCGTAGACTTGGTATCATTCTAGTTGCGATATGCTGTATTTTCTCCAATTTTTCAGTTTCCCACTGGGTTATCTAATGGTAAGCTGGGGCACCGTATTCAAGGATTGGTCTAATGAGCGAGGTGAATAGACGAGGGACGGTTTCTTCGGACCATGTGGAGAAACTGCGTCGTAATGCCCAGAGCATACGAAGTCCCGCACGGTACAATTTCTCTGTATTTTCTAGTGATCTTAAATCATGTCGTGAGAGAACTCCTAAGTCTCTGACAGATGTGTTGGGATGGAGCAACTGGCCGTCCAAGGTGTATGATCGAGTGGCTGGACGTCTGGTGATACTGATGAACTCCGACTTGCTTGCGTTAAGAGGGAGTTGCATTTCAGTGGACCACGTTGACAGTCGCTCTAAGTCATGCTGGAGGCGAGCGCAGTCGTCCTGGTTTTCAATGATCCTCTAGATTTTCAAATCATCTGCAAACAGGACACATGGTGACTGGAGCTGCTGCGGAAGATCGTTGATATGAATAAGAAATAATGCTGGCCCAAGTACAGTTGCTTGAGGCACGCCACTGGTCGATGGGAACCATTCTGTCAGATAGTCATTGACCTGTACTCTAAACCTTCGTCCCACAATAAACTCTTGTATCCACAGAAGTAACGTGCCACCGATTCCGTATGTCCTCAGTTTATGGAGGAGGACCTCGTGGTTCACTCTATCAAACGCCTCACTAAAGTCGATGTACACCACGTCAACATCCTTCTGTTCATTGAGAGCTCGAACCCACTGGTGGTTGGCGTACATGAAGTTGGTGGTGCAGGATCGCCCTTTCGTAAAGCCGTGTTGCGCTGGCGTCAATATGTCCATCGATTCGAAGAACGACAGCAGACATTTTTTCACAATCTTCTCGAGAACTTTGGATAATACCGAAGTCAAACAGATCGGTCTATAGTTCTCTGTTTTACTCTGATCACCACCCTTGGGAAGCGGTTTAACTATCGAGCATTTCCAGTCGTTGGGGACAGATCCTTCAGAGAGCGATCTATTGAAAAGGTTTGTCACAACTGGTGAGATGATAATCGATAGGGACTTGAGTATTAGTGGGTGAAGTCCGTCTGGCCCGGGGGGCTTTGCACCATTGAGGTTGACGAGTAGCTGATGTACTTCGACTGCATCACATTGTAGGCTGTCGAGCAAGACTGGCGCAACCTGTGCTGGTACTGGAACAGCCGCCGGTTTACTGGAAAATACAGTGAGGAAGTGCGTAGCCAGGGCGTCCGCGCGCTCCGCGCTTGAAATGAGTGTCTTCCCGTCTAAGCTCTCTAAGACCGGTAGGTCGTCTCCAGGTTTCAGTTGACGTTTCAAGTAGGCAAATATTCGCTTGGGTGCAGTTGCGGCCGAGGATGCTAGTTCCTCTTCGAACTGCCGGCGTTTCTTGATCTTTGCGGCGTTACATAAGTTACGCTGTTTCTTGTACACCGCGTAATCTTCATCACAACCCGAGCTGATGTATTTATCCCAAAGTTTACGACGTCGTCGCACTAACTGTCTGTAATCCCTATCAAACCAGTGCGGTTTGACAGGTCCGATTTTTGGATACTTAAGGGGAACGAACCGAGTACAGAGCGAGTTAAGCTTCCCCTTTATTAATGACCACCACGCCTCAAGTGACGCATCATGTGGTAGTGTCCAATCAGTCTGACTTGCGGCTTGGACAAGTCCGTTGAAGTCCGTCTTCCAATAGTTGAATGTCGGCTTCTGTTGATTGTAATATGGTAACGACAGTTCTAAGCTTGCTACAATAGAGCAGTGGTCACTGTTCGCCAGAGGTTCGATGACTCTGATCTCTTTTAGCTTCTGCTCGCAGCTCGTAAACATTAGGTCCAGACAAGATGCCGAGTACGGAGTTACGCTCGTCGGTTGGATGACATGTTGCGTTGCCCCAATTTCACTAGTCATTTTAGCGAATTGAGCCTCAACGTTGCCATGACCGGGAAGAAGTCGAACATCTGGCCAAATTATCTTAGGTAAATTTAGATCCCCCATCAGTAAGAACTGAGGGCGGCTCATGTGCTTCTGTACATGTGGTATCCAATCGCAGCAACGGTTTAATGGGCTCCGATAGATAACCCCCACAATTAGTTCTGCGCGCCTGAGACGGATTGTGCACCACAATTGCTCGCATAAACTATCCTCGCTCCGATAGGTACTGATACGTTTGCCAGATAGTGACGATTTTATGTACAACAGAACACCACCGTGAGCCTTTGATTTTCGGTCACATCGGAAACAAGAGTATCCTGACAACACGACTTCTTGGGGTATGATGTCGGAGTTCAACCATGTCTCTGCAAGTCCTAAAATGTCCGGCCGCTCCGAGACAGCGAAGCGGCACAGTTCGTCACGTTTGTTCATTAGGCTGCACACGTTGGCGAATGCGACACGGAGGTCCTGGGAGGTACTGCGGGACGTGCCTGGAGGTTGAGCAACCGATTGATACGGGTTCGTACACCCTTCTTGATCACCCGAAAATTTACAACTTGTAAGTCAGTCTCACCTTCCTCTGTACGGCGTTTGAGCTCAATGACCGCAGTCTTCAAACGATCCCTGTCCTCGGGTTCCAAATCTCGGCGGATGTGAACTTTTATGCCTTTCAGCCTTGACAGACGAGACAGTATGAGCTGCGGCATATTAGGATTTGCAAAGGTGATCCTCAGAGGTCGACATGACTGGTTAGTTTTCTGGCCAAGTCGGATTACTTGTTTAATCGTCACACTGTCCTCGCCCACATCCAAGAGTCTATCGATGAGCCCCTGGAGGAACTCAACATCGTTATCATAACGTATCTGAGGGTTTTCATCTTTTGACTCCGGTACGTGGAAGACCATGAGATTATGACGTCTCAGCGAAATCAGTGATGAACCTGTGGGAGCAGAACTAGAGGCGCTTAACTGATTGGGTAGTTGTTTAACAGCAGGTGACGTCTGAACTCGATTACGTGGGCCCTTGCGCTTCTGAGTGGTCCATGGATCCTCGGTGTTCAGCAGTTCACAGACAGGCTCTGAGAAATTCACGGACCGATCAGTGAAGCGGCATTTCGTAGCTTCTGAGTCTGAGTCTTCCATCGGTGGGAAACATTGAACCTGGGGTTTGGCCGGGGTCGAAGACGCTGGTGGTGGTGCAGATCGCGGAGTGGCAATAGAAGGCGAAGTGACAGAGGTACTTTCACGAGGGCGTTTGATCCCACGTGGTGAACGGTTTGTTCCTATCTGAAAGAGAGATTTTTCCGTAGTTGTTTGCGGTCGCTGCGTATTCTGATGTCTTGTACCGCGACATTTATCACATATAACTTGAAAAAACCGATGTCGGATGTCGAGCGATTTTCGAAACACGTCAACGGATAAGCCAATGCACGAAATATGGAACAAAACATCACAGCTGTAGCATCGAAGTGCATGAGCCTTATTTCCCACAACTTTGGAACACGAACCACAAGTAGCTTGAGACGGCATCACAAGCTAGAGCAAATCTAAGATGGCGGACAGAGATGGTAGTATGGCAAATCAGTGAGATCTCCGGAATTAGCCAAAGAATAGCTCCCAAATTTGCACCGCTCGGAAAATACGCCAAAAGAAGAATAATGGTGCACAATTCACACAGATAAAACGCTGCAAACACAGTAATCTGAGGTAAAAGTAGTATCCAGCACACGTTGATCCAAAAATCTTGCCAAAAGTCTTGCCGGCGGGTCTCCGACAAGCAGCAGATATCGATTGGCAGGGTCTCTAATCTTCGGGTAAGTGCTGCTTGTTGACCGATCTGAAGCAGTGTGCGAACTTTGAGGTATGCCAATCTGTAGGAGGATCGAGGGCTCGAAATGGAATTCGATGAACTGGGCTTGGCCGTTTGGTTGGACATGGGCCTGTTGACACTGCAGGAATGACGCTCTGCGTTCAAATGAGTTGAAACTAAAAGACAAGCGACTATTGAAGCAATGTGGGGGCGGACCGAGAATCGGGGGGTTGAAAGCAGGGGGTGTAAAAGTGAAGCTGGAACGGGACAATAAGGTTGAAAAGGCGCAAGAAGGGGAATAAGAAGACGGGAAGGCTTGAGCAGTAGCATCCAAATCCCTATCTACCCTGCCCGATGCAGTAGATAAGGCACCGTTGATTATCCTCTGCGGTGGCCAGAGCATTAGAAATTTATTTGAAGTAAAATTATTTGTATTGCGTGGGCAGAATACTGTCCGATTGCCCAGGCCTAGACAGGAGAACGATTAGAGTTCTCAACCAATGCCTTTAGTTCAAATACCTGTCCGCAAGGCAGCGGGTTTGGCACTGGGCTACAAGGAGTCCGTTTTAAGGAATAAGGTGCCACCCTCATTCCGACCCCCAACCTGGAGGACCAGGATGCTGAGTTTGTCTGACCTCTAACCATTGACCAATCTGCAAGAGGCACCACCCAGCATGTCTTAATGGATCGCTAAGGCACACAAACCATCGCACCACGGTAAAGTCCATCCTCATTGTTAACCTGCCTCCTAATATCTTACGTTTGTCGTGTGTTTTTTGAACAGTTGGCTCAATCACCTCTACTTTTGCTGTCCCTTTATTTTCTCAATGCAGTACGAACATTTCTTACTTACTTCTCGTAACTTTCAAAATTCCTTTCCCCGCTTTTTTACTTGACAGCGTATAGCACAGCTCGTCATCTCCATTATCGGAATCGGCCTGTCTCTGAAGTTGATGCTTTACTTGATCGAGCAGATCAATCCTACTGCAAAGGAGAAGCGCTTAGCTCGTAAACGGGTAAGTTTATCTCTTTTATTTAACTTCCGTTCATCGAGACACTTGATATGACATGTGATTGTTGGGGTGTTTGCGTTTTCACCGTCTTTTCCTCGTAAGCTCTAATTAGGCCACTTGTGAACACTTGATCGTTCAGTGTACTGCGGCTGTTATGTTGCAAACGCTGGCAGTTTATACATTTTTTCCCTTTCGCTATTCGTTTTTTCCGTTATTCCCTGTTCGCGTTCGTGCAGTTACACGTGCCCAAGGTACGATCTACTTTTACGTGCTGTGGCTGAAAGTTTAGTAATATCAGACAGGTAGAAAATTTATGGGAACTCAACCTTTTTCTGTCTTCGAAGAGCTATCCAAAAGTGTAGACAAACTAAGTAAGTAGAAAACTGCTTTTCTTGCGGTTATTTTGGAGCTATAACTGCTCGTTATAGTCCAACGCCGACACATCGAAAACACTTCTTTAGACTCATCATTCGCCGCAAATCTGTCGATAAATTAGTGGTCTTCTTTCGAATGTGTTAGTTGCTGTCTGTGGTTCAGGGCGCATATTGAGCTTATTCCTGAAGATATAAAATGATCGGTAGATGACGAAGCTCGATATTCGTCATTTTTTCCCTTTCGCTATTTTTCCTCGGTGACATTTGTTCACTGTGCATTTGTCAGCCGTTTCCGTTGAGCAGCTGCTTCCAGCCATTGGACATTAGCTTTCACTTATTGCTGCTGCGCATAGAATCGTCTACATTGTATTCATTTTTGCTGTTTTTTCCGGGCTAGTTTGTATAACTTCCACACTCGGCCTCCGTACGTCGTGACTTGTTGGTGACCGTCTTTTTGCGATACAGTTGGTACATGGAAGTGCCAGAGTGCTCAAAGCAATGTTGGTGGGCAGCAGCCATTACTGAGAGTGGTTGGTGGCTTTCAATGTTTGACACTGTGCGGCAGTCTACGAATAGACATAGAGCGATCAAAAACCATGGAAGTCAAAGGGAAGGTACGATTGTCGTAGAAAAACCCAAACCCAAAACATAGGAATTCATGCTTTCTTACAGAGAGCACGATACTACCCAGTGCTCAAGTCGTGATGTTGACTTAGCGGACACTACTGGGAGTCTTTGACTAAGTAGCCCACTCGCAAAGCAACGGAGTGAATTCAGGGAATCGCGCCCTTTCTTTTGGTCGGTCGTTTAACGGGTGTCTAATCCTCCCCACAATTTCAGCATCGCTTTACTGGGATACAATGCTCCACGAAAATGGAACAAGGAGCAGTGACTATTTAGTGGCGAATCACATCCGACAAGTCGCGGTGCTGTTAACCAGAAATATGTGGCTTTTTACAGGGGAACATTTGCCAGGCGAAAATCAATCATGTCATATAATACTACCGCTGAACCATTTCCCGGAACGGGATCAACACGAACCACCTAGCTGGTACCAAGGTAGGTGTTCGACAAGCCAGCTGTGCCACAGTTTGGCCTACCAATCAGGAACCTCTTGCCTAGCATAACGGTCGTTATTCTATGCACTTTCAGGAGCAGCAAGTTCAGTCCGTTTACCTATCGTCAAACAATTCATTCGAAAATGGAGCAGGTATTCAAATTCATTCAATTCTAAAGTAGCGTAGGGAGAATTTCGTCAGCCTAATGGGTATTGGTTCTAGGTGTTTGGAACTATTCACTAGACGTTATCCGAAAAGTGTCGCTAGATTGGCCAGCTCATAATATGCACACTGTCTTTGAATACACCACGGGCAATTCTCGTTGTTCACTGTAGTTAGTGTTTTGCATGCTCTGGTCAGTTACGCATATATATATATATATATATATATATATATATATATATATATATATATATATATGTGTGTGTGTGTGTGTGTGTGTGTGCGTGTGTGTGTGTGGTGACGATACGGTTTCGGGGCCACTACATGTGTGCTTTGACCCTTATGAATTCTAATCGCAAATCTCTGTGACTACTTAACCTGTAGCTAACCTATTTGCACTAGTTACCGTAGTTATCCGATTTCAAACCTGGTCGAATCGAAATAGAGCACTCGAGTAGCATCTGCTGCATGGTTGCTGTAAGACGAGCGATTTTTTATGATAATGTTCTTCACGTAGTTTTAAGTTTAGTCCTTCGGGGCTCAAAGAGACGGGTCTCTGTCTTGTAACCCAAGCATAACCAATTCAAATGTGCGTAGATGTGCACCGTCTCGCAGTATTGCTAGCCCTCGCGCAACTGCTGTTTTAGACGTAGCAACGGAGCGTTGGTGGCACACGCCGGCTTCGTTTTTGTTTTAAGTTCATGTTGACCCATTGAGTCCTAGTGACTCGGTTTACGGTCGCAACAAGGGTAGACCTTAACGTGGCGCTACACTAGATGGTATCTTCGGGCTCCGTGAGCGCTACTCCCACCAATTTAATCAATGTTTGCGGGCGAGATACGCTTAATCTCTTCGCCCCCAACATTGGATTTGGAACTTGTCTGGTATCCATCTCTGTAACATCGGGCCATTTCCATCTTCACACTTAGACTCGGTTTTAAGAAAGGCTTCTGAGTCAAATTCATTGGTTGAAAACCCTTTAAGTGTCCCAGCTCACCTACAACTACGAAGGACTGCATTTCTCATCATAATACACCTGCCGTCACGTAGTTTCAAACGGATCACCTAATCTTCTGCATACATCAGATCGGATAATAATAATAATAGTAATAATAATAATGAATATGTATATTTCTCATAATCCGAGAGCCTGTGTCTATAGCACACAAGTCAACTTGTACAAAAGCAACCATGCTATTGTATGGACGATTTGCATATGTGGAATATTGGGGCATGCATTTCATGTACTAGCGTTCTGGTGGATGCTTGAGGTGCTAGGCAACGTTGGGTTCCTAGATGTTTCTGGACCCTTCTTAGAGTAGCTTATCGAGGGATTTTTTCCATGTGAATATAGTCATGACCATATTCAGGTCAAATGATCTGAGTGTGATTGACAGTCTATTCCACAGAAAGGTATATCTGACCAGAAAGAAATTCGAACGCATGCTTCTTCCAACCTCTGGGATAATCAATGTATAATCTTTTTTGTAAGGCTCTCGAGTTGAGCTATGTTGTAGTTCAGGTGTAAGCAGATCGTAATAGTTTTTTGTGTGGCAGATTTTAAAGCAACAAGTTATGCTTCAATCATCGAATCCCAAGTGGTTTGCTTTAAAGTTTGTTGCAACGCTCTAGATAATTCGTGACAGTGCTTACTAGTGAGATGTTTAGTAAACGATTTGCACGTGTTCCACAGCAATTCTGTCGGTTTTTCACATATTACCACACCTTATGCGACAGTACTCGAGGACTGGGCGGTTGATTAGCTATAAAAGCTAGACTCTAACACGGATTGTGTGAATTTCTCTGGTTTCATTAAATACAAATTGGGTGGCACGTGCTGCTGTTGATTCCTCTCTTTTCCATATGTTTTTCCTACTCACCTCTCGACTCCCCTCCCTAACATTCCTTCTACAATTCCCCGTTTAATTGACGGTAATCGCAATGTCACGAGACTTCTGCTGTCTGTAGCTGCATTCCAGCTAAATTCATGGGACTCATGTCACAAACAGACCCTTGGACTACGATGTCCTATTTCTTTCGTGGCGTTCAATTTTCGTTCCATGAGATATTGGTCATCAAATTACACATGCATACACATTGGACACACTGGAGTTCGACCTGTATTACGTGTCCGAAATTAGGATCACTGCTCCTCATGGGCTGTTGATTTATGTTAAAACTATCGTTTTGCTGTTGGTCAGACACTTCCGAAGACACTGATGCAACAACCACAGGTCAAGCTGGAGTGGGCAATGATCTCGGTCTAGACGCTGTGTATTTGTTATTACTGTTTATGTCCCCACCGACTGTATCCCTTAAGCTATCGAGGATGCTTTATACCACGAATTCAACACGCTACCATGCAGTTCGACTAGTCCATATACCGTTCTGGTCACAGAGGATATGAAGGCACTAATAAGTCTCCTGAGCTCCACAGCAGTGTGGTTAGATGAAAAGCTTAGACTTAACACTGAATGCACGGACAACCGTGCCCTGAGTACCGGCTGTTTCTTAGCAGCACGGCCTCCAGAAACAGTGCGCACGGAAGTGACACTTAGTTTCTTTCGATAACAGGCTAGCGACGAAAGTTCGTCGTCATAAGTTTCAGGTGTCTTGGTTTCATCCTCCGCTACCTTTTGTACTGGAAGAGGTGCATGCCTTTGTACTTTGCCGATTTTCCATGAACTGTGCTCAGAAGTTTCCATCGACTGGCAACTGCGAAGTTATCTGGGCCCTCAGTCGAACAATACAATCAGGTGCAATGCTTCCACTGTTACTCCAAAGACATTAAGCTTCCTAGGAATAGGATCTCAACTTCCAAGAATGACGCAAAAACATTTGTCTAATAGACTATCAGTCAATATCGTTGCAGACACTGAATATCCGAGATGCCTGTGAACCTGTTGGAATCCTGATAACGTTGCAATATGGTTCTGAGCACCATATAACCAGATGGATTAATGAGCACCAGCTTAAACGAGATTGGTGGGCTGCCAAGGAATTCTTGTGAATCTAGAATCTTCAGGAAGTAGAGAAGGTCTGCGCGGGTGACATTTACCGCAGACTCTTCCATCTGATTCACATCACGGACTTCGGCATCTTGGTTATCAACTAAACAATCACGGGAAGCACCGATGCAACAATGTGCAACAAGGTACTTCGAATAGCGCGAGAGCAATTCATTCGGCTCCTTGCTCTTTTCCTTTTCCTTCTCTAGTGGTGCTGCATGGACATGGATCGGTTAAGTTACAGTCTTGATTTGGGGGGCAAAGGTTCGAATCGCGATTACAGCCCCCATTGTTTCCGATCTGCGAGTATCAGTCTGACGGCTATAGCAACTTAGTTACCGGTCTCAATTCTCGTCCATAGACTTACTTCGGAACGGGAATCCTGGATGAGGGAAAATCAT